TTTTCCAATAAAAAAGTAACATTTCAACATGTTGATTCTGTAGAATACTGTGCCTTTGATAAACATTCCAAGACACTGGGAACATTTTTTAACATTCCTATCTTTGGAATACAAGCCAAATTTGCAAAACTTAACTTTGAATATATTTTCTATTTTTACCTATTTCAACTATTTATTTTCATTCTTTCATTGTGTTGTATAATTATTTGATAGATTAATAGCAACATTGTTTCCCCCAATTAAAGGATTATTCCTTGCCATCTATAATTACCTTTGTGGCATTCCTTATCTTTAAAATGTTTTTGATCCTTTTGATCTCTTCACTCTGCAATATGGTTACATTTATGAATTTAAATCTTTATTTTACCTCTTTTTGTATGTTATATTTCTAAAATATTTAATAAAGAAATAAGTAAAATTGTGCACTGTTACTATAAATTCCAGTGCAAAATGATTATACGAAGAATGGATAAGCTAAAAATAGAGTACTATTCATGTTGCAGGAAGCAAATGTGAAAGATGGTCTTCAATAAAACTTTGAAAACTTGTGCAGTTGAAAATCCAAAGGAATCTCTTAGGAGTATAGTATCAGAGGAGTAGCCATGATCTGCAAAAGTGGCGAGGAGTCCGGTGGCACAGTAAAAGAATAAATAGACACAAATCAGATATTAGGAATGGCAATATACAAAAACCTGTAGAAGAACACTTCAATCTCCCTGGACACACAATTTCAGATCTAAAGGTAGCCATCCTGCAGCAAAAAAACCTTCAAGACCAGACTTCAAAGAGAAACTGCTGAGCTACAGTTCATCTTCAAGTTTGACACCATCAACTCAGGATTAAACAAAGACTGTGAATGGCTAGCTAACTACAAAAGCAGCTTCTCTTCTCTTGGTATTCACACCTCCAGATCAGCTACTAGACGTGGGCCTCATCCTCCCTGACTGGATCCACCTTGTTATCTCTAGCCTGATTCTGGCCTGCATATTTATACCTGCCTCTGGAAATTTCCACTACATGCATCTGTCGAAGTGGGTCTTTGCCCACGAAAGCTTATGCTCCAACACTTCTGTTAATCTGTAAGGTGCCACAGAACTCCTTGCCGCTTTTTTAGGAGTATGCATATAAATATCTGAAGGTTGGATGCAGCTGCCCAAAACCATCATCTTAAAAATGTCACTACATGTAACAGAGAATAATCAGTGGACAACAATGCAACCTGCTGGTGAATGTTGATGGTAAGCACAATAGGGACCGCAAGGGATGCCTTTCCAAAACTGATCGATTCCTCTGACCCTAGTGAGGGTCTTCCTCCAATGAACTTAATGAGGTTGTGCTGACACCCACAAAATTTTAAAATCCCATACTGAATGTAAATATATAAATAAATTCAAGTTATTATTCTACTACTGCTAATCTAACTCCTTCCTACAGGGCTTGAGGTGGGGTTTGGGTTGGATTTTTTGTTTGTTTTGTTTTTTGATATGGGTATTCTATACCTCATGCCGTATGTTGTTATACAGTGTGACTGTGTGTTATTGCTATCTATCATCCTAAGAGTACATCTACACTAGAACCCTTGCTGTGATTTGCAGCTAGATGAAACTGTGTTAGCTGTAATCTGCTAGCTTGCTAAAACAGACATGACACTTTAGGCTTGAGCAAGGTCTGCAGAAGTCTGCTTGCTTGATCCTCCTGATATGTGCTCACTTGTGCAACCCATGCTGAAGTGCACACCTTCCCGTCTTCACTTCTATTTTTAGCAAGCAAGCTAGATTACAACAAGTACGATTTACTGACCATGTAGATCGTATCTGCACCTGAAGTGTATATGTAATGTAAAAGTGACTATACTTAAGTAGTGTAAACTCTGAGAGACAGATTCTCATTTACAATAAATGTTTAAGTACCCTTTACACTGCCAGAGTGGTATAGAGGCCTTAAATGTAAATGAGAATCAAGACCTACATGTACAGCTAATTTATATATTAGGACTCTCTCACGCTGTTTAGGTACAGACTCACATTGACTAGAGAACCGCCTATAGCTCCCCAGTGTGCAGGGATAATTGAATCACTGCTACAATCTTTGAGGAGTACAGCTTCCCCTCCCATCTACCCACTGGTTCCAATGGCTGATGTAATATGGGGGAAAGGAGCCATGGCATCTTCTTTTCAGTGACTTGCATCCCGTTGCTACAATGAAAGGTGGAGGGTTTCTCTGCACCCTTTCATCCAGACACCCACTTTGAATACTCATGGAGCAGATAAGCAGAATGTGGTTCTTCAGTTGCAAAGCATTTTGAAATCCAGCAGACTGAAAGTTACTACAAAAATATATAGAAAGACTAATTTTTTCACCGTTATTCACACAAATAGCTTCATTAGGCTTCATTGAACTAATTGTATGTACTGCTTGTACCACTCACTGTCAGTAAAAACTGCAGAATTGGACACAATTATTAACAACAGTTATCAGGACAGTACTATAAACTGTATGTTACAAAGATGTTATCAATACAATAAATACCAGAAGCTTGAGCAGACTTTGCTTAGAAGGGTGGGAAATGCTCTATAAACCTGCCTCTGTTCCTGCCATGTTAGTTGTACTTATGTTAATGCTCTGACAGCTCACTGTTTCTGAGCAGGAAGAATTAAAGGTATAAACACATAAGAACAGTTTGTTTTACAACTCCTGAAACCTGATAACCGTCTCCTCCTACATGAGTTCAACATTTGCCTTTCTGTTCTAAGTCCAATTTTTGTTGTTTGCCTCTTGTGATCTCACCAAAGCAACAAGGTGATGTGAAAACCAAGGAGACAACAGAGAAGCCCAACATTTAAAGAAGTAGAGATAGGGGAAAATTAACAAGTTTTCCTTAATTAAAACAAGCTGTTAAGCTTGAAGACAAATACTTCCTAATTGGGAGCATAATTTTTAGAAAGTCATGAGTGATGGAAGAGAGGCTGATAATAGGACTAAGTTTGTAGTCTAGACTATAAAAGGGTCAGAGCAAGTTTTGGGGTCATGAAAATCAGTCTTGACATCATGAGCCCCATCCCCACCACTTTCAAATCATATGATCCCCTAATATACAAGAGTTCTGAATACAAAGTAGGACTGGGGAATATAGGATTCTATTAATGTAATAAGAAGGGAGAAAAGAATCTTAATGTCAGCTCTTCCACTGTTGTAAATTGGCATATTTTCTTTCACTTCGGTGGAGCTATGCTGATTGGAATCAGCTGACCAGAGATTCTAGAGATAGAAGTATTAAGTTGTGTAGTCCAATCTCTTGCTAATGTTGCATTGTTCCCTGTTGCACATTTACTACAGTTTTCTATAGTCTAGTTTTTAGTATCGAAAGCCTTGGGGTTTACATCACTTCCCTAATGAGACACAGCAATGTAAACTATCCAGAAAAATTTCCTGGTACTGTCCTAATCTTAATTTAATCTCACAATTTCCAATTACATTTTATAGTTCTAATATTTCTTCTCCATCCTTGACGTGTACGTGCTGCAAATATTTATAGACATTTCTTACCTCTAGTTAGCCCTTAAGAATAACCTCATTGACAGAGTGAAGCTTAACCATTTAAAAAGTATTTCCTAAAGCGAACACTAGTGTCTCAGACCCATCCACTTGGCAGAATACTTCTGCTATAAACACTCAACCCTTTCTCTCCTTTTTGTTTTGGAAAAGAAAACCTCCCATTATTGTTGCCACGCCTTGTTCCTTAGCTGTGGGTGGAGTAGAGCATCAGATACCGCTGCATACTTTGCACAGCCCTAAACTTAACTGAGAGACAGGTGGGGTGCAATGTTCCCTCTAACTTTTGCCATCCATATGTGGAGTAAATTTTTAGTATGTACATTGAGGCATCTGCAAATGTGCACCACCAGTAGAAACACATGCTGCTGGCTGTGGGCACTATGCTAATCAGCTGGGTGAATCTCCCTGAGTGGCCACCTAAGTGATCAGTTTACAAGGAATGCTATGGCCCTATTGGTGTAACCCACACACCTTCGGGGTGTGGCAAAGTGTGGTGTACTGTCCAATCTAGTGGCACTGAGACCACTTACAAAGAGAATAATGAATCTGCTTTACAGCCTGAGCGGAGAAGCAGCTGGCTTTTAGCTCAAGCTATAGCAGCTCATACACTAAGGCTATGTCTACACTGGCATGATTTTCCAGAAATGCTTTTAAAGGAAAAGTTTTCCGTTAAAAGCATTTTCAGAAAAGCGCGTCTAGATTGGCAGAATGCTTTTCCGCAAAAGCATTTTTGCGATCGGGGCTTTTTTGGGGAAAACAAATCTCTGCTGTCTACACTGGCCCTTTTGTGCAAAAGTTTTTCGGAAAAAGACTTTTGCCCGAACGGGAGCAGCATAGTATTTCTGAAAAAGCACTGACAATCTTACATGAGATCGTCAGTGCTTTTGCGGAAATTCAAGCGGCCAGTGTAGACAGCTGGCAAGTTTTTCCGGAAAAGCGGCTTTCCTGGAAAACGTGGCCAGTCTAGACACAGCCTAAGCTCCAGCAGTCCCGGGTTTGGTTCTACCTGGTGGTGGGGAATTTGAGGCCAGCTCTCTGAACAAGCAACTCATGCTCTTTGTACCTCACTACCATAGCTATTAGGGGCGAGGGAGATCCCGGGGATCCCACCCTACCTCACCTCCCAAGTGCTGTGAAGGCAAATCCATGAATCCTGCTGAGGCGCCGAAACGCGGCAGCGAGAGGCACAGTCACACCCAGCCAGGACGCAGGTCCTGGGCACGACTTGTGAGTGGCCCTGGCGTGTTGTTATCAGCCCAGGGGAGGCCGCCTGTCGGTGCCGCGGGGGGGCCCGCCCCCCAAAGCGGCCAGGCCCTGTGGGGCGGGGCCGAGCACGCGGGATGGGCCGCGTCTGGCTGCTGCTCAGGTGAAGGGGCAGAGCGGAGCCGCCTCCCCACAGGCCCTGCCGCGTCAGGCAGCCGCACCTCGCAGGCTCCGCCCCGGGAGCGCCGCCGGGTCGGGCAGGGCTGGCTGGTTCCACAAGTTTGACAGTTTGGCCGAAGGTAGCCGCGGAACCGTCTCTGCCGGGGCTTTCCTGGGGCGGCGGCCGGGCGCGGAGCGGCGCCGCAGCAGCTCCCAGAAGATAAAAAAGTTTTTCCCGCCGACCCCCTCGGCCTCTCCGCCGGCTCCCCACAGCCGCCCCCTGCACCGTCGCGCCTGCCGCCGCCTGCGGGGCACCATGTCTCGGGATCCCGAGGAGGTGAACAAGCTGACGGAGAGCACCTACAAGGTGAGGCCGGAGGGCGCGCTCAGGGAGTCAGCGACGTAACCCAGGGCGAGGGGCAGTCCCCGGGGAGCAGGCTTAACGGCGGGGCACGCGCGCCTCTGCCTCCTTCCCTGAGGAGTGGAGAGCCTGGGGCACCTCAACTCGGCCGGGCACGCTCACACGCTTCTCCCAGTGGGGAGCGAGCAGCTGGGGCGCACACGCTCACGCCCCCCTCTGGGCAGAGGGCAGCTGGGGTACCCCCCCTCTCTTGGGGAAGGGGCAGTTGACCCTCTAGGTCACCCTTGAGAGGCATGTCAGTAAAAGCAACGTAGTCGTATAAACTCTCTTCTAGTCTCAGACAGGGGTGCGCGTATCACTGGCCTGCCCTGAAGCGTTCTGGGGTACAGGAATTCATCTTGGTATTTGCCTCGTTTTACAATGGGCTGCATAGAAAGCATTAGTGGAGTCAGCAATCCAAACTAACATACCATGCAGACAATACCTTGCTTATACTGCTAGATATACCATGCACTGGAATGAAGTACAATATTTATATTCCAATTGATTTACTTTATAATTATATGGTAAAAATGACAGAGCGAGCAATTTTTCAGTAAGAGTGTACACTTTTTCTTTGTATTTTTATGTCTGTGTAAGTAACTAGTTTTTAAGTGGGGTGAAACTGCAGTACCTATGAATCAGACTCTAGGGTACAGTAATCTGGAAAGGTTCAGAACCACTGATATATAGTATATTTGTGGTGTTCTTCCTTCCTAAACAATATAACAGAACTCAGCATACCTGGTGTAGTGAGAATATAATCTTCTTGTATACTAATCTCAAACTGTCAGGATCTTTTACCTTGACCATTCTGCTACTAAGCAAGTTTTATCCATAACATGTAGATGCATATAAGAATACAGAAAAATATGTGGGATTTTTTAAATTAAATACAAAAAAGTTGTTCAAAAAACTTTTATGGTAACCTTAAGGATATTTCATTGACTCCTTGCACTTTCATATGACAAACAGTATATTATTAATTAAAATCTTTTGTGCCATGAGTTTTTTCCTTTTTTCAACTAAGGGTGTGTCTAGACTACAGAGTTTTGTGGACAAAAGTGGACTTTCGTTGACAAAACTATACCTGCGTCTTTACTACCGCTGAGTTCTGTCGACATAACATCGACAGAACTCAGCAGTTTTGTCGACGCTGGTAAACCTCGTTTTACGAGGCATAACGCCTTCTGTCGACAGAGTTCTGTCGACAGAAGGTGTTATTGCATGTAAACTGTCCTTGCGTGTACACTTCCATGTCGACAAAGCAGCTTGCATTGTTGACAGAACTGAATGTAGTGTAGACGCTCTTTGTCGACAAAAGCTTTGTTGACATTATCTGTCGACAAAACTTCTGTCGACAAAACCCTGTAGTCTAGACGTACCCTAAGTTTATGACTCTTGAATTGTTGCTTTAGGTTTTGTTTTTGTGATTAAATCCATGAAAAATTAATGGACATGGGGATTTTAACTTACATCAGTATATGCTAAAGCCTATAATAACATCTATAGGATACAAAATCTGTTTTGTGAAACTGTGTACATACAATTGCAAATGAACCTCATTTAGAAGTATGAGCTATGAATGAGAGTCCAATTCTATAACTTTAAAAACACACACACCTATGTTTTGCTTTTTGAAGAACGTTTTGTTTCTCTACATTAGCTGTACATAGTTATTTTGAAACTCTGGCTTCTCCAAGTTCAACAACAACAACTATATATTAAAGGCTCTATACTTAAAACTTCTGCATGTCTCTGTTTCAAAAACACTGAATTTAGTCATACTGAGTCAAATCCTATAATTCTTACTGAAAAAAAGCTGTTTAAAGAGTTTTCTCTAAGAGATGAGTGCACTATTTGGCCGATGTTAGTTTTCCATACTGTCTCTTACAGAGGAAGTGCTCAAATTTGCAAAAACACTTACTTGTCAGTCAAGTTACATAGCAGCTTTGATCCTAAATGAAGGATTTCTCATCTTTTTCATACACCGTATTATTTTATATATTAAGACTTTGTCAAAGTATGTTTTCATAATTTTTAAAATTTTCTTTTAATCTCTGAACCTGTATCCTGAGGGTTCCCCTTTGCCTTTTTTCCTTTTTTTTTTTTTTGCAGGGAGGGAGAGTGGGTTGGTTTTTTTTGTGTGTGTGTTTTTGTTACTTTCAAGCACTTCAGGCTGCTCCGATAGCCTTTTAGTCTTGCGATTAGTCCAGTTGTGTTGACATCATGTTGTCTTTTCTGTTTGACCACTGGGGCAGGGATGCTGGAACAATTTGTATAGTGGGGAGTACTGAGAGCCATTCAACCGAACCGTAAATCCGGTATATGATGGAAACCACTTCAAGCCAGGCAGGCGATGCTACCGTATCCTCAGCACCCATAGTTCCAACAGCTATGACTAGGTGGCTTAAAAATACATGTTGAACCTCCCTGGCCTGGCGCTCTTGGGATCTGACTGTTCCAAATGAGGCGTTTGTTGGATCGGGGGACATCAATTCCAGCCCTCCCTGCCCGGCTACACTGCCATCCCTAGCTACTGCTGCCAGCCTTCCTGGACTGACTGCTGCTTCCCACGCCACTCAGGCTCCTGGCCACAAGCCATATTGCCTGCCCCATTCTGGAAGCTGCCAGCCCCACTGAGGATGCTGGCCCCAGCTGGACTCCTGGCCCTGGCAAGGTTCCCAGCTGCAAACCTCCTGTTGCCCAACTCCCAGAAAATGGGGCTTTCTGGCCCAGGAACATCCGTGGTCCTGCCAGATAAGATATTGCTGAACCAAAGAGTTCTGTTTTTTAGAGGTTGTATTAACCAGTACTAATTTGAGCAAAATTAACATTAAATTTATTGGAAGAAAGATCGGGTTATCCGTAGAGGGAAGAGCATCTATTTATTTGCAATCTATTTTGTCCTATCTCTTACATAATTTCTAGTATTATGTGACATCAGTAATCATCATGGGCCCTAAATCAGTAAACTCTTTACTCACAGAAGAATGATATTGCTAATAGGGTCATTTTCATGAGTGAGGATTTGCAGGATGAAGCTCTGAAAGTTAAATGTAATGCCACAAATGCTGGATTGTAACAGGACTACAGAAATAGAGAAATGGTGGGGCATATGACTTGCAGGACCAGTGATAGGCTTTCGTCCTTTAAGAAATCTAACTGGAAGGGGAACTGAATATTAAAAATGAAAAGGAATAATAGGGTTTTTGGCTTGTCTGTTTCTCACTCTGACCTTCTTGTATTGTACTGATGTCACTATCCGTGTATCGGATGCCCTTTAAATGAATGTTTAATCACTCTGTATGACGTTGTTGTTAAACATTAGGGATGTAAAATCCTGTATAATTAGTTAACCAGTTAATTGGTTAACTGTTTAAAGGGTGGTGGGTGGGCAGGAGCATCCCACCATGGGCAGGGTCTCCAGCCCAGCTGCTTCTGGCCCTACCTGGCACATCTCCCAGCCCGGCACAGGGTTGGAAGCAGCATCCCCGCATGGGGCTGGCAGAGCTGCTGTTGCTTCTGGAGCCATCCAGGGCTCCCAGCTCACACAGGGGCCAGGTGGTGCTGGAGCAGTCTTGATCCCTGGGTACCGGTTAACCATTGCTCGGTATGCATCACCCATTAAGGGTGATGTTTACTAGGTATCCTTTAGCATCCCTATTAAACATATTTACACAAATAACCAAAATGACTAAAAGATTAATTGACAAGTTATACTGTATGTTCATGTTTCTTTGGGTTAACTTTTGTGTGTTAGCTTATAAAGGAAAAGTGAACATCCCAAAACTAATCAACATTGTTATCCAGCCACCCTAAGCCACAGATCATTAATGCAAAGAAATTCAGAGTTAATATTGACATTTAATCTTGCCCTCTTATTCTTTAGGTATTGCATAGCTTTAGAATAGATACTGTGGCACATGCAGGATGAAATTGGGGGTTGTAGAAGTCCACATTTTAAATGCAGCCACAACCTTCCTCATGGCAGGAATGTGAAAGATTAACTGGTAAGCATCCCCCAACTGTCTAGTCAAGGGGTTAAGTCAGTGTAACTACGTCACGCATGGGTGTGGATTTTCAATTACTGCTAGTATTGTAGCCTTTTATAACCTAACAGTTTTAACCTTCAAAATAAATGAGACACATTGTAGGAGTTCTTTCCTGTAAATACTCATCTTTGCTTTTTATTTTGAAATACACCTACTCAGAACTATAGCTCAGAAGATTTGAACACAGCTAAACAATATGCAGAGTCTCTGAAGCTTTGGCTTTACAGTCTGCTGACATTTTATCAAAAAAATTGATAATTACTAAATAAACAGTGTGTGTGTGTGTGTGTGTGTGTATAAACCTTACTATTTATCTCATTACACTTATAGATATTAATTTATAGCAAGACTAAACAATAGTAGATATTAAAAGTTTATATTGGACTGATTACATGTTTTTCATATTTAAAAGAATTGCAAAATACATTTGAAAGAATCCTTTAAATATAACAATTATGTTTGGAAAACATCTTGAGATTTCTTTCATTGACTCAAATAGGAGTCAAAGATATTATCCTGTGTAAAACAAATCTTACTGCATTGTGCCTGAAACACTTTACAGTGTGTCTATAACAAATAAAATTGATTCTCCTTCTGGACCCTCTTGAATTGCTGGGTCCCAAGGAAATTCCCACCCTCCTCCTCCATCTCTTGTCAGTGGGCCTGGGAGAAATATATTACAGCAGGGGTGGGTATTAATTTTTTATGGAAGGGGGGGCAATTCAAGAATTTGGAAAGTGGTCAAGGGTTGCACTTTTCCAGGACACAAAGGTAACACTGGGGCGGCAACTGGCTTCCCCAGGGGGGTGGCGGCATGTAACCGTTATGGTAACCAATTAGCTCATGCTTATTGGTTAACTGTTTATATCCCTAGCGTTATTTAAAAAAGCATATTCTACCAATGATTTTTTT